AATGAAAATAAGCAAAATTAATCATGAATTTGGTAGAAAGCCAATTTGTCCACAATTTACTTAGGTTACGTAAAATTTGTCAGGAAACAGAACAAGTGTTTCCTGACGCGGGTCTTAGTAATATGATGACTCGCCACTGGAGCTTTTGGTCATTAGACTGAGGCCTTCCACTTATTAACTAGTCCACCCTTTAAAAATTACAGGAAACACCAATTGTTGTTGCTTGTGATGAACTTACTTGATTGCGTTCCACAGGTTATCTATGGAGAAGCGGTGACGTCGGCCCGTGGCGTGCTCTCCCGTCAGGTAACGTGACAGGTTCTCTTTGTCGGCTTGTTCCATCCCGTGGAAGGGGTCCATCGTGTCTTCGGAGAAGCGGCGGTCGCCCTCCGGACTGAAGTAGTTCTCTACCGCATAGTCCGTAAGGTCGTGCATGGACTGAGTGCGGGAGGACTTGTAACCTGGACTGTCCAAGACATCGCCAGCTATCGATAGATTTTCTTGGTCTGTTTCCTCTCGGTTCTTCGCGTGTTTTGAGTGAGTTTTGTTGTCGGTGTCATGCGAGGAGTGTAGTTTGTCCACCAAGAGGGTAGGGAGACTACCTCGCAATGCGTATTTCTTGTGTCGGAAGTCCAGCAGCCTGTCAATCATGCGGGTGTCTTTCTTCTTTTTTTTCTTCTCGACGAAGATGGTTGACTCTGAGTTGGAACGAGTTCGTGTCACCCGTATCTTCTCGTGGCTGTAGTTGCGTGGTTCCTTGGGGCCCTCAGAGTCACTCTTCTCTGTATCCGTCGTAAATTCTTTAAGTGAGTCCATCTTTAACCCCAACTCTTCGTGCTTGTCGTCAGAGCTGTCGTAATCTATGGGAGCACAGCTGTCTGATGCCTCATCATGCCGATGGCTCCGGCTTTTAAGAAGGTGGTGGTCGAATAGGCTCCATCGGCGTTTAGTATCTGTCGTGGACACCATCTCTTCGTGTTTGTCATCAGAACTATCATAATCAATGGGAGCACAGCTGTCTGATGCCTCATCATGCCGATGGCTCCGGCTTTTAAGAAGGTGGTGGTCGAATAGGCTCCATCGGCGTTTAGTATCTGTCGTGGACACCATCTCTTCGTGTTTGTCATCAGAACTATCATAATCAATGGGAGCACAGCTGTCTGATGCCTCATCATGCCGATGGCTACGGCTTTTAAGAAGGTGGTGGTCGAATAGGCTCCATCGGCGTTTCGTATCCGTCCTGTGCTCCCCAGGTGAGCCTATCTTCAACTCTTCTTGCCTGTCATCAGAACTGTCGTAATCAGTTGTAGCGCCACTCTCTGGCTCATCGTGTCGATGGCTACGGCTTTTAAGAAGGTGATGATCAAAGAGGCTCCATCGGCGTTTCGTCTGGTTGGCGTTGTTCTTGCGGTAACGACCTAGGAGCCGCGTGTTGATGGCCGTCGCGGGGATGGCATCTACCGTGCTTCCACTCCGAACTCTGACTTCGGGAATTAGACTGACCTCCCGGTCCTGAAGTGAGGTGAGGTCAATACTACCAGAGGAGGAGGAACGGCTCTTGGTCTGTAGTAAGTCACTGTGGGAGTTCGAGCGAAGCTTCGATATCAGTTTTCTGACTGGTGAGTCTCCGCTTGAGTGGTTCCTGTGGTGATCTTCGGTACTGGAGGACGATCTTGAGTGGCGACTGGAATCTATATGAAACACATCCAGGAACATGTTTTTCAAAGACTGTTTCCTCTTCCTGTAGCGAACCTCGGAGCCAAGGTGCTCCTGCGAGGCACAGAATCTGGTGTTGGCTAGGTTCTGCTCTTGGGAACTTCGAGGTAGAGCGATGGACGATGAAGAAGACACATGACGAAAACCACGATCCTCTGGTTCTAGGAGAGTGTCAGTGTAGGAGGCTGTGTCCTCCGCAGTCCGAGTGGGTAATTCCTCGCTCCATGTGTCAGAATTCATAGAGGCGATCGAGGGAGAGCGTGTGTGTGGAGAACAACTGCCACTAGAGGGCCCGCTATGAGTATCCCATTTAGACACACTGACCTCGGGCGGCGTGTACACCCAACACACTCCCATATCATCCACCCCCTCAACCACGATCACTGGCTGCGTGGTTTCCATTTTCTCGGGAGAGTTCTCGCCTCCTCCCTTTGTTTTTCCCGCACCACACTCAAGTCCTGTGGGCTCACTCATGGTCGCGTTCACACACAGCTGATCCCAGTCATCACAACACAATACACTAGATCATCAACTGACACAGACACAGTACACTTATACATCAGCTGAGACTAACAACACTAACACCACTATTATGGACACACGCACAACCTTCCTGGGCTCACTGTGATGGCACTTGGTAACACACACACTGGCACCTTTTCTGATGGCCCCCAGAGGCTGTTGTATCAACATTCACTACCAACAGTGAAACTTTCCGCTAGACAGAGGTGACAGGCATCCTTGTTCCTCGTAACAACAGCCACTGTTTACTCTTTTATGAAACCTGGAAAAAGCAGTGATAGGTCAGTGTTAATTTACATTATTTGATAGTCAGAAGCAACAGTAGAGATCATTCTCAACTTGATCAAAGATGTCTGAGAGAAGTGAAGTGAAACGGACCCAGAAAAAGTTGTTTGACGACATTTGCTAACACAGTAAAGGAGGTGTTGGTTGATCTGTGTGTGTGTGTATGTGAGAGAGAGAGAGAGAGACAGAGTTCCCTACTTGTTTGTCTCATAATAAAAATGCTTTTAAATGAGCTGATGTAGGTAACAACTCTTAGCTTCTCAATAAAGTTAGGAATCCTTAACCTGTAATAGCTTGTCAATAAAGCTAGGGATCCGTAACCTAACCTTGTCAAACTCTGTGTAAGGAGAGAGAGAGAGAGAGAGAGAGAGAGAGAGAGAGAGAGAGAGAGAGAGAGAGAGAGAGAGAGAGAGAGGTCGACATGAAGTGTGAGGTATAAACACCCTTACAGGCAACTCAAGCCACCCTCAAAATATCTATACCAACTTACAAATCCGTTCTCGTACAATCGGATTAAAAACTCTCCTGTGTTCCATTTTTTGTGTCAGACCAGACAGCCTCGACCTCCTGCGATTAATGTTATAGTCATGGGGGAACGCTAAACCCGCAGGGGTCATACAGTGCCTTGCCAGGGTGTAATATAAATGGCACTGTGAGTGGGCATATATGTATAAGTGAAGAATCTGGTTAGACGAGAACATTACAAGGAATTTTCCATTTTAATCCACAGTGAGTGCCTCTCCCTGCTCCACCGGACTCTGCTGGCACCGGCTTCTCCTGGCACCAGCCTCTCCTGGCACCGGCTTCTTCTGGCATCAGCCTCAGCTGAGACACCCTCACCTTTACTAAGCGATAAAGTCAGTTTTACTAAATGATAAAGGCGTTTTGAGAGAAGATACATTGATACACAGGTTCGTTAAGTTAGGATACGACTCTGGGAGTAAGGAGGTCGTGCAGGATAAGCTGTCTCTGGGAGTAAGGAGGTCGTGCAGGATAAGCTGTCTCTGGGAGTAAGGAGGTCGTGCAGGATAAGCTCCCTCTGGGAGTAAGGAGGTCGTGCAAGATAAGCTCCCTCTGGGAGTAAGGAGGTCGTGCAGGATAAGCTCCCTCTGGGAGTAAGGAGGTCGTGCAAGATAAGCTCCCTCTGGGAGTAAGGAGGTCGTGCAGGATAAGCTCCCTCTGGGAGTAAGGAGGTCGTGCAGGATAAGCTCTCTCTGGGAGTAAGGAGGTCGTGCAGGATAAGCTCTCTCTGGGAGTAAGGAGGTCGTGCAGGATAAGCAAACGCACACACACACACACACACACACACACACACACACACACACACACACACACACACATACGAACGTTCTAATACGAACGTTCTAATACGAACGTCCTAATACGAACGTTCTAATACGAACGTTATAATACGAACGTTCTAATACGAACGTTCTAATACGAACGTTCTAATACGAACGTTATAATACGAACGTTCAAATACGAACATTCTAATATGAACGTTCTAATACGAACGTCCTAATACGAACGTTATAATACGAACGTTCTAATATGAACGTTCAAATACGAACGTTCTAATACGAACGTTATAATACGAACGTTCTAATACGAACGTTCTAATACGAACGTTCTAATACGAACGTTATAATACGAACGTTCTAATACGAACGTTATAATACGAACGTTCTAATACGAACGTTCTAATACGAACGTTATAATACGAACGTTATAATACGAACGTTATAATACGAACGTTCTAATACGATCGTTATAATACGAACGTTCTAATACGAACGTTATAATACGAACGTTATAATACGAACGTTATAATACGAACGTTATAATACGAACGTTATAGTACGATCGTTCTAATACGAACGTTATAATACGATCGTTATAATACGAACGTTCTAATACGAACGTTATAATACGAACGTTATAATACGAACGTTATAATACGAACGTTATAATACGAACGTTCTAATACGATCGTTATAATACGAACGTTCTAATACGAACGTTATAATACGAACGTTATAATACGATCGTTATAATACGAACGTTCTAATACGAACGTTATAATACGAACGTTCTAATACGAACGTTCTAATACGAACGTTCTAATACGAACGTTATAATACGATCGTTCTAATACAAACGTTCAAATACGAACATCAAATATGAACGTTCTAATACGAACGTGCAAATACGAACGTTCTAATGTGAACGTTTCTTATGTCACATTGACTAACTCGTTGCCAGACGTTTTATGGTTCATTAATTTCCTTGAGTGTCGTTAATCTACGTTTTTTTTAATTCGTTAATGTTAACTAACTTGTGAATTGTGAATAATTGTGAATTGTGAATAATTGTGAGTTGTGAATAATTGTGAATTGGGAATAATTGTGAATTGTGAATAATTGTGAGTTGTGAATAATTGTGAATTGGGAATAATTGTGAATTGGGAATAATTGTGAATTGGGAATAATTGTGAGTTGTGAATAATTGTGAATTGGGAATAATTGTGAATTGGGAATAATTGGGAATTGTAAATAATTGTGAATTGTGAATAATTATGAATTGTGAATAATTGTGAATTGTGAATAATTGTGAATAATTGTGAATTGTGAACAATTGTGAATAATTGTGAATTGTGAATAATTGTGAATTGTGAATAATTGTGATTTTTTAATAATTGTGAATAATTGTGAATTGTGAATAATTGTGAATTGTGAATAATTGTGAATTGTGAACAATTGTGAATTTTGAATAATTGTGAATTGTGAATAGTGAATAATTGTGAATTGTGAATAATTGTGAATTGTGAATAATTGTGAATTGTGAATAATTGTGAATTGTGAATAATTATGAATTGTGGATAATTGTGAATTGTGAATAATTGTGAATAATTGTGAATTGTGAATAATTGTGAATTGTGAATAATTGTGAATTGTGAATAATTGTGAATTGGGAATTGGGAATTGTGAATAATTGTGAATTGTGAATAATTGTGAATTTCGAATAACTGTGAATTGGGAATTGTGAAATGGGAATAATTGTGAATTGTGAATAATTGAGAATTGTGAATAATTGTAAATTGTGAATAATTGAGAATTGTGAATAATTGTGAATTGTGAATAATTGTGAATTGTGAATAATTGTGAATTGTGAATAATTGAGAATTGTGAATAATTGAGAATTGTGAATAATTGAGAATTGTGAATAATTGTGAATTGTGAATAATTGTGAATACTTGTGTATTATTCAATACAAAGGTAGCTTGAAGATGTTGAAATTTTAGACCGTGGAAGGTAAGGTAATCAGTCCCTCAGTCTTGATGAACGTGAATGTTCAAGGCTTGAAAGGGTTGAACAAGCACCTGGGTATGAGGTTTGATCCAGGGGGGGGGAGAGAAGCACCAGTTGCTTGGATGAAGAGCACCAGTCTGAGGTAGGGTGAAGGAGAGTGAACCAAGGGTGTGGTGCTTACTACAGTTGACACCAGACAACTGTTTGGGAGAGAGGATTGAAACCTACATTGCAAGTGCAAGATGTTACACACGTCTTGCAACATGCAAAGCTCTCCTCTCTCTCTCCCTCTCTTTCTTTCTCTCTCTCTTTCTCTCTCTCTCTCTAAGCAAATCGAGTGGGCGGGATGGATTAAAGTGTTACATTGTGTGGAGGTTGGGTGTGGTAGGCGGGGTGTTCTTGAGGGGTGGGGTTGGGCCGGGGTGGGCGGGGTGGGCAGAACCCACCGACCGGTTCTTTGGGAAAGTAGGCTCTCTCCAGGTCCGCTTTTTATCACCAGACAGTGATCACCCACCATAACCCACCTCAACCCACCTCGCACCTCACCTCAACCCACCACACACCTCACCTCAACCCACCTCGCACCTCACCTCAACCCACCTCGCACCTCACCTCAACCCACCTCGCTCCTCACCTCAACCCACCTCGCACCTCACCTCAACCCACCTCGCACCTCACCTCAACCCACCACACACCTCACCTCAACCCACCTCACACCTCACCTCAACCCACCTCGCACCTCACCTCAACCCACCACACACCTCACCTCAACCCACCTCGCACCTCACCTCAACCCACCTCGCACCTCACCTCAACCCACCTCGCACCTCACCTCAACCCACCACGCACCTCACCTCAACCCACCTCGCTCCTCACCTCAACCCACCTCGCTCCTCACCTCAACCCACCACGTACCTCACCTCAACCCACCACGCACCTCACCTCAACCCACCACGCTCCTCACCACAACCCACCTCGCTCCTCACCTCAACCCACCTCGCTCCTCACCTCAACCCACCACGTACCTCACCTCAACCCACCACGCACCTCACCTCAACCCACCACGCTCCTCACCTCAACCCACCTCGCACCTCACCTCAACCCACCACACACCTCACCTCAACCCACCTCGCACCTCACCTCAACCCACCTCGCACCTCACCTCAACCCACCTCGCACCTCACCTCAACCCACCACACACCTCACCTCAACCCACCTCGCACCTCACCTCAACCCACCTCGCACCTCACCTCAACCCACCTCGCACCTCACCTCAACCCACCACACACCTCACCTCAACCCACCTCGCACCTCACCTCAACCCACCTCGCACCTCACCTCAACCCACCTCGCACCTCACCTCAACCCACCACACACCTCACCTCAACCCACCTCGCACCTCACCTCAACCCACCACGCACCTCACCTCAACCCACCTCGCTCCTCACCTCAACCCACCTCGCTCCTCACCTCAACCCACCACGTACCTCACCTCAACCCACCACGCACCTCACCTCAACCCACCTCGCTCCTCACCTCAACCCACCTCGCTCCTCACCTCAACCCACCACGCACCTCACCTCAACCCACCTCGTACACCTCAATCCTCCTCACCCCTAGCACCCCACCCCATACATATCCATAGTAAACCTCATAAACCCAAAGAAAC